ATGCACTAATTTTCTAAGCTTCACCTCTATTCATTTTCACCGCAGAAAACCTGTTTTCTATCCAAATTGGGCCTATTTTATCACAAACACGAGTCAATAGATCTACAAGAGCGACACTTGCAGAACATCTGGAGGCCCAAGGTTGGGCACCACTCTCTAGAGCAGTGGTTCTTAACCTTTGTTACTCGGATGTTTTTGAACTGCAACTCCCAGAAATCCCAGCCAATACAGTTGGTGGTGAAGGCTTCTGGGAGTTGCAGTCCAAAACTCCTGAGTAACCCAAGGTTAAGAACCAGTGCTATAGAGAATCATGCATTGCCCATTCTTGGTCCAGTTTAGAATTTAGATAACAAAGCTAACTCTGGTTTGTTGAAAAGGGGTGTGTGCGTAGACATGCACTGATTTTCTAAGCTTCATCTCTATTCATTTTCACAGCAGAAAACCAGTTTTCTATCCAAATTGGGCCTATTTTATCACAAACACGAGTCAATAGATCTACAATTCAAGAGCGACACTTGCATAATTATATACTGTTGAGATGCTGCAGGTACAACAAGGATTCCTGTGAATGTACTTGGTGTAATCTTAACAGTTGAATTGCAAAACAGCTCACTTCTTCAGCAACCTAAGCTTATGGGTACAATGCAGATTTTACAGAGTGTCCTTCCATTGTTTTAACTGTAGTTTCTTACACACAGGCTGAGATCCTGTTGTGTAAGTTAGTTACGTGGTGTAACATACAACAACAGGATTCATCCAGAATGTGTTAAGTATCAAAGACAGTGGGAAATTGTATCTAGATATTTGAAAAACCTTTCTCTTTCTCTCTAATTCTATCCAACCCACTTGGCCTGTAACTCCAAGAATATGCCAGGCAATTTGGCCATTACGTAACCAAAATGTAACTTTTATTATCTCTAGAAAAATGTAGTTCAACAATGTAACTTCTTCCCATCTCTGAAAATATTTGCCCTAAGCCAGCACAAAGAGATTTGCCTGCAGAAGCTGCCTTCTGAATACATGCCATCTGCATTTCTGACCAAACTGTAACCCTCAGTAGAGTTCCACACTGTACAGATGTGGTTTCTTTTGTATTTCCGGTTATATTCTATCAAGTTGCTTCCAACAAACCCTAATAAGATTTTTCAAGTATATGAGATGTTCAAAGAATGGTTTGCCAATGCCATCTCCCAGTTACTTTTCTTGGCCCATGAGGATTCAAACACAAATCTCCTCGGTCTTTGATGAACATTCTAGTCACTACACCACATGCCTCATTAGCTCTGAGTATCACCCAGCACCTAGGGCTGGTCAATATTAAAGAGAGCCAAATTTAGGTTGTTGTCCATTCAAAACCTGAAAGTGTAATTAAGAGAACCTGCTTGTGACCTTGCACTTCAGTGGATATGTGACTGCCTCATCGTTTCTTTATTAAAATCATGTGCAGTATACTGTGAGCTGTGTTAAAAACAGGTGAATCTTTTCCAACAGACCTCGTTCTAAAGGGCCATTACATTTTAGAGGCACTAAAATGGAAAAGAGCACCTTGAAATCTCCACCAGGGACCTATGCTGCTCATCTTATCTTTCATTTCAGAACAGACTGGACACTTGGATGTCAAGCTTACGCTTTATACGTGTGATCACACAAATTGTACTTGAACTCTGCAGTTACCAACTCAACTGATTTTACAAACATGCTTCTTACCTTAAATCTAAAGCCTTATGATCTTGCCCTGAACTACACACAGAGGACTTCAGACTAGACTTGAAAATAAGAACAGGATGGGAGTCTTCAATATTACTTGCCTGCAGTAATCTTCCCCCTGACCCTACACATACATTCCCTAAGCCAGGAGATCAAATTGAGCACTCTTAACATTGTGGTCTAGCTCTTCCCTATATATATACATACTTTTCTTTTCCTAGAGCCCTTGTGTGAGCTTCTCTGGCCATACAAATGTCTCTCAAATGCGGCCTCATTTGTAGACTGATGCGTGCATCCATTCCTGAAGTCCTAGGCCCACTTTTCCCCACAGATCAGTGTTTATGACTTAGATCGATGCTTAAAGTTTAGTTGAGGATGCTTCAGGCCTACTGTCTCCTCTTCTTCAGGTCTACTACCTTCAGTAGTGGTAAGGAACCCTTGGCTTACCTGAGGTTTTGGACGAGAGCTCTTACTATCCCTAATTCCCCATAGAACCCAGGGCCTCTCGGAGCTGAAGTCCAAACCATTTTCAAACCCTGAAGGTCCTCTGATTGTGTTCTGCAAGCTATGTGACTGCAAGACACACCTTAACAAGACATTAAGTGGATGCAGTTGGTTAACTGATGTTCTTACAGGGGCTCCTCCTTTACATTTTAAGGTCCTCATTTGCTTCAAAAAGTTGCTGCATTTGGGGTACTACTGCAAATTCCGCAGAGCAGGGCTTGAACCAATGTCCCTACATCCTGCTCTGATGGCCCTATCGCTTAACACTACTTATAGCAAGCGTCTTTTTAACCTATATTGCACAGACTGAAGAAACATATCAGAAAAAATGGAGACTATGAGTTCAGATCCAAACATTTGGTAGAGTAATAAACAAGCAGTACAAACTTACTTGAAGGTACATGCATTTTAATGCCATCATTAATTGCTGATTCTAGATGAATAAAGGTCTCTAATGAGGTTCCTCAGATACCCCAAACATAATACAAATTAGTATCACAGTGTGCTTTAAGATTCACAAAAACCATAGGCTGAATTTAAGCAGGAAAAATTACATTACATCTCACCAAATGTAATAGATATTTGTCACTGGGAATATCCTGCTTCTTCACAAGGTCTGTAAAGTTTACAAATAATGCTAGGCTTAGGAAGCTTTCTTTTCTTTTTTTTTTCCTGGTTGCTCCCTCCATAATAGCACCAAATGGAATAATGTTTGCCTTAAAGAAAATGCTGAACAGAATTTGCTTTCCCATCAAGGGCTAGTGGAGCAAACATTGTACTTGCAAATTAGCACGCTATAATAAATGTCAAAATATTTTTCTATTGTGTACATAATTGTATAGTCTTGTTTGAACAATGATTTGTGCACAGATTTCACAATTTACTCTTTCACTTCTTCTTTTTTTCTTAAAATGATGTCAATATAAACATTCCCCCCCCAAAAAACCCCCAAACCACATGGAAAAATTGAATCATATTTTGTAAATAGAACTAAAATTAAATATTACGAACTATTTTGACTGAAGTGTTGCTTGTTTAGAGCTGAACTCAACCATGGGTCCAGCTTAATTTTTTTGGTCCTGATTCCAGACACAATTTGTGCATTAACATAGGCAGCTGTATGCGGATCTTCTTGCTTTGCTGGGCATTGAAAATGCAAAAGACAATGCATCCAATGGGAAATTCAGCTTCTTAATGGAAAGTTGTAATTGTGCCACTCTGGGCTGATTCAGATCTGCACACACATCCTTAAATAAGACAACTGGCACTGTTGCATTTGACAGCACCACTCACCTATTTTGGGGAGGCAGGCAAATTCAGTTCCTCCTGTCAAAGCCAACTTTAATTTTCTGTTCATTACATATATGTACGTACAGTGGTACCTCGACTTACGAACGTCTCTACTTATGAACATTTCGAGTTATGAATGGCTCCGTTCGCAAAATTTTGCTTCGACTTGGAAACGGAACTTCGACTTACGAACAAAAAAAACTTTCCTGCCCCTTTTTTTGACCTAAGTTCATCTTAGGTCAAAAGAAGAAAAAAATAAAAACAATTCCCCCAGCAGTAGAGTACAGATTAACTGGCTTTGCATTAGTTCCTATGGGAACCAATGCCTCTACTTGCGAACAGCGCCTCGACATAAGAATGAAAAACAGCCGAAATGGATTAAATAGTTTTCAGTGCATTCCTATGGGAATTTTTGCCTCGATTTACGAACATTTCAACGTATGAACACCGTTCCAGTACGGATTAAGTTCTTAAAGTGAGGTACCACTGTATATATGTATATGCAATGAGTTGGATCCAGACTTAATCACATTCCATTTCACGGAAACCAACCAGATCTAGGTTAGCCATAAACCTGTGTACAATTAATTCCAATGCGTATATTTTGCCCATGACTAAGTCTGGATACAACCTATCATTTTGTTTATTGATGCAGCCCACTACAACACCTTTGGACTGAGGCTTTTGAAACACTGGATTTTTGCAGGATGAAGAGGGTAGGAACTAGAACTGACCCAATTTTAAAGAAATGGGAAAACAGAATTAAATACCCAAAGCTCAAAATCAAAGTCCAGAATCAAAGCAGCTTTCAGATGCATCCTGCCCAAGCTAGATAAAAGGCACTTCTCCCTTTGAGATAAGCTGGAGCTTGCATGAAGAACTATGGACAAACCAGCATGGTAGTGTGCTCTCCTCAGTAGCTTTAATGCACTTCTAATGCATTTTAAGAAACTATGCCTCCACTGAGTGGATGAGTGGGGGACTCGAATCATTCCCTTACAGATATCCTGCCTTCTGTACCAAGCATTTAATATCAATAATATTATCATTAGAATTAATAATAATAGAATATTATCATTATTAATAATGATAGAATTTCTCATGCCAATCAAAATTAATTAGGTGGTGTTTGTGAAAAATATTCTCATACAGAATATTTCTGATTGGCATGAGAAATTCTGTCTCTTAGTAGTGCTTAAATAATCCTCGTGTCCCAGAGCTGAAATATGATGCAAGTCTTCTACATTGAAATTTCTGCCCACAGTCCATGCAGTAATTCCTCTCCTACACTGACAAGTAAATTTTCCTGTGAGGTGCTCTTAAGCAAAGAAAAGGCCTCATGAAAAAAGTACGTGCAGATGCCATATACCTGATTTGAATGCCTTGCAGCCACAGCTATTATGCAGGACAAATTTCCACAGTCGTCCGTTAATTTGAATCGTTTGTTAACTCATGATGTGTAGATGAGGAACCAAGCAGGAAAAGCTTAGGTCACCCAATAAAGTGCTCAGCATGGTTTCTTTATGTAAAAACAGAGCTTATATATGGTAATTCTTCTATCAATTATTTCATAAAATTTCATATTCTTAAATCTTATTCTGATTTAAGATGAAGTTTGATCCACTAGGTAGCTCATTTTGTCACTGACATCAAATGCACCCTAATACAGTTGTGAAAAACATTCCCAAAGCCAGGGAGAAAAATACACTTTTCACACAATAAACTATATTTCCTAAAATGAAAAAAAGTAAGAGTTGATCTATTACCTAAATAATACAAATGTACACAACAGCAGGTACTGTTTTACACTACGCATGTCAAACTATTTCTCCACCAAAAGGTCACTCTGGGCATTCCAAATTAGTTAGTTGAATTTAGGCACCCAGTGGCCAAGTCCAGACATTATGTTCCCAAGCCAAAAGACTGGAAAGCTAAAGCAGAGACAAGCTCAGGTATTCCACCCACCCCCACCCTACTTCCTTCTCCTTGCAGGACCAGGTTCCTGGTTTGCTAAACCCATTTCTCTGTGTTGCCCAAACCATGATTTATTTGAGCACTCCCTCGGAACCAGGGCAGCAAAGCAGAATATAGTTTTTACGGAACACTTTAAAACCACAGTTTTGCAGTTTGGGCATCATGGAAGAGCATGATTTAATACACTAAAAGTCTTCTCACAAGCCAGACACGGCAAGAGGAGGATGAGAGAAGAGGGCGAACACCCAAGTGAGCTAGTTGACTCCAGCTAAACAAAGTATTTACATGACATATTGTAATATTTCAAAGTGTGCCATGTGTTTAAACAAGCTGCAACCAACTGCAACTCTCTACAGCACACTTTTTTTCAAAAAAACAACTTCGTATCTCCTTCTCATGTGATTAGAGTACACACAGATACATATTAATTCTGCCATGTGTAAGCTCCCCTGTGTTCAGGGGACACATTTAAATGAGAAGCTGGCTCTCTCATGAATTCTTCCAGGACACAGATTACACTCTTGGCTTCTTGCATTTCAGCCTGTTCGACTTTCACCATCTTCAAGAGGACGTCTCCGCTGCCACAGTTCTTCAGAAATAGGTAGCACTTGAACAAAGCATAATGGCTCATTTCTGCTTGCCTGATAAACCGCTTCAGGTTGTTGATGTCTTGGATGGCCTAGAAGCAGAGCAGCGAGACAGATCTGGAGCTAAGACATGGCTGCTGTAGACCAGGTGTCGTGCCTCCACTTGCTGCCCCAACAGGCGCTGCAGCCACACTGCCCAGACAGTCCGATTAAGATCAGCTGCCCAAGAAGGGGAACAAAGGTACTGGGTTCTCTTCCACGGGCAGGCATGATAGCTAAACTGTTCCCCAGCTGGAGCTCAGTACATGCACTTACACACTCTCGATCCAAGGGCCTACTGGCAGTGTACAAACTGCAAACAGTAAAAGGCATGTTCTCTACAAGGAATTCCTTACCCTTAATTTAAAACCCTTGACCTCCAAAACAATGAATGGGTGTGATACAGTTTAGGTTTAGGCACTTTTAATTCTCCTTGATGGAGTGGAAGAGAACCAATCACCTGCTTACTCTGGTATGTGTATACAAAATTTGTAGCCACCCAGGTTTTGCTGGCTTGTCCTTGGTCGTTATCAACAATTTAAAGTCCCTTGGAGTGCATAGATTGCCACTCCAAAATCTCATGTTCCTCTGATTCTTACTACAGATGTTACGTGACTAGAGATGGGCACAAACTGGTTTGTCCCAGTGTTTAAAGGCGGAAGCAGAGGTGCTGCTGCTCCCCTCCCCAGCCTCCGCAGCGGATCAGCCACTCACCAGGCCCAGCTTGCTTGCTTTTTTCCACCTCCTCGGCTCATTTCCCAGTCACGAGCAAGAGCACAGAGTCCTCTGCTGCGCCCTGTTGTCCAAGTGGGAGATCAGCCAAGAGGGCAGGGCAGAGAAGCCTGAACTGTTGCCGGGGCTGGAAGATCAATTGAGGAGGTACATGAAGTGAGCATGGAACTAGCATACTGGGCCTGGTGAGTGGCTGGATTGAGCCAGAGGCGGCGGGGATGCCTTTATGAGCTGGGATGAACAAATCACTTTGTGCCCATCTCTAAACATGAGCCTTTTACCAACTCAAAGAAGCATCAGGCTGTTTGGTTTGTTTTCAGTCCAAAAGACTGACCCACAATTCAAATATATCTCATCACTAAGAGTCACTTAAGGGGTTATTAACACCAACTGGAATGTTTTATTTTATTTATTTGTTGGTTCCATTTTTACCCCGCCCATCTAGATTCAGGAATCTACTCTGGGCAGCTTACAGAGTAAAAAGATAAAAACATCAAAATAACTTTGATCAAAGAGCAAAACTCGATAAAGAGAACAGGATCCAAGATGGAAAAGAAGCTATGTAATGGGAGGGGGGACGGCCTGCAGGAAGAACCAAGTCTTCAACTTGTTTTTAAAAATTCCCAGCGAGGGTGCCAGTCAAATCTCCGGTGGTAAGGTATTCCAAAGAGGAGGGGCCACCACCAAGAAGGCCCAGTTTCTTGTTCTCTCCTTCTGGCTCTCTCTCAGAGTTAAGCCCTTCAGACATCCGGTCTGGCTTGATCAAGTGACCTGAGTAAAGCTAGGTGGGAACAGGTGATCTGACAGGTATTGAGGCCCTAAACCTTTTAGGACTTTACATGTAAGCATTAGTACCTTGAAATCAATGCGGAAATGAATGGGTAACCAGTGTACGGCCGCCAGAGTGGGGGAAATACGTTGGTGTCTTTTCAACCCTGTTAATAGACTGGCCG